CGCCTACGTCAGATGCTCTAGTGTCGGTACCAAAGCAAAAGAGTCTACCATGAAATATTCAAACTTTCTTTTTGTTCGCAAAAAGTAAGTTAGAAAATATTATAGCAGGAACTAATAAAAACCATTTATTTACGTTCCTGCTAAAAATTAACTGGTATCTTTCATCTTCTTCAGAATTGTGAAATTTATTCGAGTACCGTAACGTAAATAACATAATTTTGTAGGAATTAAATTATTGTTTGCTGCATTAACACTCATTAACATACATCATATGTAATTTTTGTCATGAATAGAATAATACATTAACATAAAGCAAATCCTAGACCATTGTGATTAATTAAGGTTTATATGTGAACTTTATTTGCACTATTCTATAAATAATTCCTAACTGTGAAAAAAAGAGTCCAATAGCAAGTCACTAACACAAGCCAACTTTTCAAACTCCCAACTGCCTTTGCAAAATCCCCAGCGACTGTAAAATTTCAACCCTCAGTTCAGCTGGTTAGATAACCTCCTTTTCTGCGTAAACGATACATAATACCAGCAAATAAATATATTTTGAGGCAAGTAAATGCTGTCGCATCAGCTAACTGTACCTAAGTTGCTAGCCATCACTGTGAAGATCTTGTAAACAAACTGAATTGGACTAGACCCTCCTGGTCAAGCTAAATCATGTTAGGTTATCAAATTAAAGTTTTTTATACCAGAAAACTGCAGAGATTTCAACGCTTGCAACCAGTTTCGAACCCGCAAGTCACAGCTCTACTCGTGTTGTTCTAAATCATGCGGCCAAATCACCGATATCTAAAATAATTCGAGCAGCTAGAACTTATACTCAAGTACACTTAACAAAGTGCTTATACCAACCACTCTGTTAACCGAGTTGTGAATCTTAAGCGAAATATTCACATGATCACTAATTATCATTATAATTATTTTGATTGAACTTGCTTGAATATTAATGGCCTCGATATATCAAGATTGCAAATAAAAATATATTAATCGTTTCTACTTCAAAAATATATCGAAATTGCAACTTTAAATCTTCTTAAATGATTAATGCTTCTTAACTACGAGCACAACTGTTATTAATCCCGTAGAATTATGATCGGTCTCGATATATTATTGATATAAATACATCGTCGGCAGGTCAGACCAATTCACTTATTTTCATCAGCTCAAGTAAATTAATAAATACATTCCTGAATGAAGTGAATGAAGGAGAAGGGAAGTAAAAAAAGCAGTAAACAAAGAGGCAGTAAAACACTGGCAGTAAACACGTATATTTAATTGTGAATATTGTAATCCTTCGTGGGGGATGTGTGACATTCACACATGTCAAACATGTGTGTGAAGACATATACAAACTGCTTTATACTTAACAAATTCCAGAGTACGTACCGGTATTTAGAAAAAAATTCCATCACTTTTACCTAACATGGTTTTTATAATCTTTGAATGTTAACACGTTGACTACGATTGCTTCATCTTGTACTATTATTTCATTTTTTGTAGTACTTCCTAATTAAATTTTAAATACTGCAAAAAGAAAATAAACGGAATTTTTATAGCGGAACCTACAAATAAAATTGTATTTATTGAGTAATCGGCCTTTTTGGCCTTTTTTGTTCTCGGATTTGGCCAATTTTAGGCAACCTGAATTATGTATCACTACGTCCTGGAGAAATACATTTTGTGGTACTAAAATGTACCACTTCGGAGTCAACGTGTTGACTGAGAAGAGAGTAGTCGGTGCAGCAGAACCAAACTTTGCCAGAACATGTACATGTATATCAAACATACACATCCACTTGTATATTGATTTGATCTTACAATTTTATTATGAATACATTTTTCTCTGCTGGTTCCAAATGGAACCGCTCGGCACTAATGGGTTAACGTTTGCAGCACAGAAAAACACTTCCTTTTTTCTTCATTCATTTGCAAATTCCATGACTTTCCATAACTTGATATGAAATCTCATGACTTTGTAGGCCTGGGACCATACCTTCAAAACTCGCTAAGTGAACGTAAGTACTTACGCTCTATTTCCTTGTCTATGATTGGTGGATTTTGCTTGAAAGGCCGTCAATGATTGGCTGATGAACTNGAAAGACGGTAGCATTCGTCTTTGCATCGACTACCGGAAGCTGAACTCGGTCACTAAAGCGGACCGATTCCCGATGCCAAACCTAACCGACCTTGTATTTAGCTTGCACGGAATGCAGTATTTCACTTCCTTGGACCTTGTTCGTGGCTACTACCAGATTCCTCTGGCCAAGTCAAGCCAAGAATATACTGCTTTCTCTACTTCACGCAGCCACTATCAATTTAAACGGTTGAGTTTCGGACTGAAGAATGCTCCTGCTGCATTCCAACGCGAAATGCAAGAAATCCTAAAAGGCTACTTGGGAAAACACGTGCTGGTGTACATCGATGACATCTTGATCATGTCCCGCACTCTTAATGAGCACCTAGACCTAGTCAGCTCTGTCTTGCACACCTTAGGAGAGTATGGCATTAAGATCAAGCCTTCTAAGTGCCAGTGGTTTCGCAGTAGTGTACCGTTTCTCGGGCACATCGTTGGGTCTACGGGACTGCATAAGGCCTGTCTCTTATACACATCTAGATGTGTATAAGAGACAGGGTATTAAGCGCTAAATAACTCCCCATTACTTCATAAAAGGAAATGTTTTGGAGTCCAGAAGTTATAAATAAATAGTAAACTGCTTTTTTATATTTTTATCCTTCTATATTCTCAGTAAACTTGTTATTTAAGCAGTCAAGTGATACAATAATGAATGATGAATAGCAGCAAAAATATTCATTGAAAATTTTACTTAACATCAAGGCTAAGAAATTTTTCACTGAGACTCAAAAATTAATTATTACACAAAATTATTATTATTGAAATTTTTTATTAAAAATTACTTTAATTATTATTAAAAGTTAAAAATTACATGAAATTGTTTTTTAGAATTTATACCAAAAATTACTAATTATACTAAAGATTTATAGCGCTACAGATACGACTAATTTATGATTTATGATAAAAATTATTCCAAGTAGAAGGAAACTATATATATTTGAATAAAATGTGTAATTTTACATTTATATTGTATAGAATTAAAACACAAACCACACAGAAATAAATGCTTGTCAATTTTGTATATCTTGTCAGAAATGAAGACATGGCAACTCACTCGTCAATTTTGTATATCTTGTCAGAAATGAAGACATGGCAACTCACTCGTCAATTTTGTATATCTTGTCAGAANTACACATCTAGATGTGTATAAGAGACAGATTAGTGCCCCCATTTATGGGGTTGGTGCTTCCAGTTTCCAGCCCTAGAGTGGGACTTTCTTCCCTGGAGTGGGACTCTCATCCCTGGAGTATTCTCCACCTTATCTGCATGTTTGTGACCATTCTGCCGCAAGGACACTTGAACAACTCTTCAGGCCTTACGTGGCCTGTCATATTATGAGCTGAACATAACTTAGTCATTATAAAAATTCTTCACAAATTTTCTAATCCATCAACAAGAATCTACATTGATTTGGAACGTAGCCCACGAAATATTATTGTGTGCTAATATTTATAATTAATTCCAGGCTAACATCATGAGGGCCCAAAAACTAATTTAGGAATTAATGAAATCTATGCCTTATATCAAAACCCCAGGTAAAATTTATTCATTAAACCAATTAAAAAATTTCCTGCATATACGGTACAGCTTTTTGCGTTAAACCAACAAAGTTGATGTCAAGGCTCATCTCAGAAAACTTATCGGTCAAGCACCTGCGATTCACTATAAATAGAATATACACTAGTAATCATATCGATAATCATCTTAATGATCAGATAAATAATTCATCTTATTGACTGAGTATTTGTCTGACATCTTATTTAGGTCAATATGCTTGATTTACTTATTATATTTCGATTATTGCCACTCGCTGTGGGAAAATGTTACCCTGAATGGCATTTAAAGATAGTTAAACTTCAATGTTGATGATAGTCAAACTTCAATGTTAATGATAGTTAAACTTCAATGTTGATGATAGTTAAGCTTCAATATTAAAGATAGTTAAGCTTAAACTTTAATGATAGTTAAACTTCAATGTTGATGATAGTCAAACTTCAATGTTAATGATAGTTAAACTTCAATGTTGATGATAGTTAAGCTTCAATATTAAAGATAGTTAAGCTTAAACTTTAATGATAGTTAAACTTCAATGTTAAAGATAGTTAAGCTTAAATATTAATGATAGTTAAAATTCAATTTTAATGATAGTTGAACTTCAATGTTAACAATAGTTAAACTTTATTACTAATAATAAAGAAAGAATTTGATCCAGATTTTCTCTCCATATCATTCATTATCATAGTGCATGAGATTGCATGCCACTCATCGTTATCAACAAACAAAGATATCAACGCAAGCATAACAGCTTTTGATAGCATTTATATAGATATTTGTATTCAAATATTATTAAATCAGATATATTTGATTAACATAATATGTGGTCACTCATGCTGATCACTCATGCTGATCACTCATGCTGATCACTCATGCTGATCACTCATGCAGATCAGTCATGCTGATCACTCATGCTGATACTCATGATGATCGCTCATGCTGATCACTAATGCTGATCACTCATGCTGATCACTCATGCTATATTGACGGCTTCCATGACGATAAATACTTAGCTACACTTTAACTTACACGAATGTCAGTGATCGAGTATATATAATAATAATGATAATAATGATAATAATAATAACAATCATAATATTAGTAATAATGATAATAATAATAACAATAGTAATAATAGTAAAAACGATAATAATAATAATAATAATGAGGATTATACATATAAATGCCTGGATCTTCTGTTGAAGATATAATATAAATAGATAAGAATGGCAGGTGAAGGTCTGAAGTTGCCTATATAAATGGCAGGTCCATAGATAAATGATCAGGTCCATATAGGTCTCAGGTTGCCTCCAGTATCTACAGTACAGAGGAACGCATCCTGGAGGCCAGTTTGTCCAACTTCACGCTAAGTTCATATTTATTTCCGTAAGTAAACACGCTATAGGGCAAAGCAACATATGATGCCAAGTGCTTAGAACCATAACACAATATGTCCACAGCCGCAGTTTAGGCATGGCCATACTGCATCTGGCCAAACCAACTCCAGCCTAACCTCTGCTGGCCTAACCTACTCTGGTTTAACCATTTCTGGCCTAACCAACTCCGGCCTAACCTACTTCGGCTTAAACTAATCCGTCCTAACCTAATCCAGCCTAACCTACTCCTGCCTAACCTCTTCTGGCCTAACCTATTCTGGCCTAACCCAGCAGGCATTCGGTGGTTGAATCAACGTTGAATCAACTACCTATTACGACATTGAGATCGGGGTGAAAGGAGGTTTAGAATGAAAATTGAAGCAACATCTTTCATTCAACGTCGTACTGATGTTACAATTCAACGTTGAATCAATGTTGCTACTACGACGTTGCTGCAACGTTGAATTCTATGGTTGAATCGACGTTGAAACAACTTCCTATTATGACGTTGAGATCGGGATGAAAAGTGGTTTAGAATGAAAATTGAAGCAACGTCTCTCATGAAACGTCGTACTGACGTTACAATGCAACGTTGAATCAATGTAATTACTACGACATTTCTGCAACGTCAAATTCTCTAGTTGAATCAACGTTGAAGAACCAACCTGTTTTTCGTCCGTAGCAGGATTCGAGCCCGGGATCGCTGGAGACCGCGCGACGCCATAGCAACCTTGACCACTGCAGCTCGCGCGTGAGCAATAGAAATAAACTAAAGAATTGTTCGACTCCTTGAAAATTAAAGTGCATTCTCTGGTCATTAATCGTTCACTTATATATATGTATTTCATTCAATGTTGGCGTGATCACATTAGTTCCATGTCGGTAAATAGCTAAACATTCAACGTACCGATATCGACCATTTTTCAACGTTGAAATAAGGTTGTCCTACGTCCGTTCTAGCTTTGGTCAGATTTCGACGTTGATCGGACGTTTAACAATAAATAAACATTCAACTTACCAATATCGACGTTGTTTCAACGTTGAAATAAGGTTGTTTTACGTCTGTTCTAGTTTTGGTCAAATTTCGACGTTGATCGGACGTTTAAAAATAAACATTCAACGTACCAAAATATCGACGTTTTTTCAACGTTTAAATAAAGTTGTTTACGTCCGTTCTAGTGTTGGTCAGATTTCGATGTTGATCAGAAGTTTAAAATAAATAAACATTCAACGTACCAATATAGACGTTGTTTCAACGTTGAAATAAGGTTGTTTTACGTCCGTTCTAGTTTTGGTCAGATTTCGGCGTTGATCGGACGTTAATAATTAAAAAAACATCAACGTACCAATATCGACATTGTTTCAACGTTGAAATAAGGCTGTTTTACGTCCGTTCTAGTTTTGGTCAGATTTCGACGTTGATTGGACGATTAAAAATGAATAAACATTCAACGTACCAATATCGACGTTGTTTCAACGTTGAAATAAGGTTGTTTTACGTCCGTTATAGTTTTGGTTAGATTTCGACGTTGATCGGACGTTTAAGAATGAATAAACATTCAACGTACCAATATCGACGTTGTTTCAACGTTGAAATAAGGTTGTTTTACGTCCGTTCTAGTTTTGGTCAGATTTCGACGTTGATCGGACGTTTACAAATAAATAAACACTCAACGTAACAATATCGACGTCGTTTCAACGTTTAAATAATGGTGATTTACGACCCTTCTAGTGTTGGTCAGATTTCGACGTTGATATGACGTTTAGTTTTGGTTGTTCAGCATATCAATCCGAAATCAACCAATAATCAACATTGTTTCAACGTCAGATGCCTGCTGTGAACCTACTCTGGTTGGTTTAACCACATCTTGCCTAACCTACTCCAGCCTAACCTCTTCAGGCCTAACCTACACTGAGAGAAATGGGCGGGTCTGGATGACCCACTTTGATGAGTCAACCGCGTCCGAAAATCGATGCACTTTTTTGACTCACTTGCCCCATTTGTGGGTCATACTGACCCATTAAATTCCAGGCATGACTCACTTGTGACGTCAAATCTCTTATGACGCCACCCGTAGCATGGATACGTAGTTAGCATCTGAGCGTCAGAGCGATTTAACGCCACAAGTGAGTCATGCTTGAAATTTAATGGGTCAGTATGACCCACAAATGGGGCAAGTGAGTCAAAAAAGTGCATCGATTTTCGGACGCGGTTGACTCATCAAAGTGGGTCATTCAGACCCGCCCATTTCTTTCAGTGTACTCTTGTTTAACCACTTCTGGCCAAACCTACTCCGGCCTAACCTCTTCTGGCCTAACTTACTCTGGTTTAACCACTTCTGGCCTAACCTACTGCGGCCTAACCTCACCTGGCCTAACCTAACTAGCTGCAGTATAACCACTTCTGGCCTAACGTACTCTGGCCTTGTCCCCAATTAATGACCTAACCTACTCCTGCCTAACCCTCAATGGCCTAAACTCTCCTGACTTAACCTTCTTCGGCTTAAGCTCTTCTGGACTAACATTTGCAAGTTGTAATATTCGTCCACCCAAATGACTTAACCCATTGGACCTAACATAACCTTATTTGAAGCCGGAAGTTAGAGAGTGAATGCAAGTGAGCGGGAAAAGCAAGTCATTGGATGCAAAAAAAGTTGCGTGTCCGGGAAGCGGGCAGGTTAGGCCGGAATAAGTTATCACAGAAGAGTTTAGGCCATAAGAGGATAGGCCGAAGTAGGCGAGGTCAGCTCTTCTAGCGTCTAGCTCTGTGGCTGAATTAAGTTATTGCATGCTGAGGTTAAGGGTTAACTCTAGGGAATATTCAAGATTTGAATATTTGGCCCACGGCTGCGCTCCCAGTGCCTGTCCTCAGATGTGTTCAGTTCACTTTTCGGTTCACTAAAATGAACAAACCTTTTTTCTAATCGTAAACCTGGATTATATTATCGCTTTTACCGAAATGAGTGATACTTTGTCCAACTATCGATGTACGTTTTGCTCCTGTGTTGTTCATCCGGCTACTCAGAGAAATTATTTGGGCATTCTTCAAGTTTTGAGGTACTTTTTCTCTCTGAGTGGGTTTGGCGCAGTTTGGCACTGACTCTGTTTTGCGAAGCAAAACAGTGTCAGTGCCAAACTGCCGGAAGCGTGTCGCTACTCAAACAATATGGCCCTTATTTTCGTCAAAATTTAATTTTTTGAGTAAGACAGAGGTTTTTTAGGGGGGGGGGCTACAATATGCTTTTTTTACCTCAGAAAATTCAAAATGAAAATATAAATAAACAACAATTTGGCCACCACAATTTTTACCAACTAGATTTACCAGTCCACCTTTGCCACTCGGCCACCGTGATCTTAATCAACTATGTATATGTAGCAGTCTATTTTTACCAGTGATAAACTTCTACTTGCCAACGTTATTTTAAGAAATTTCTTCGTGTCAGTAATAAATTTTCCCGCCAGAGGTCATGTTGGTCGCGGTGTTACTGATGTGCGCGCTGCTGCTGCTCTACGCGGTGCTGCGGGATCGCCGTCCCCGCAACTGTCCGCCTGGTGAGTGCTTGGGGGCTGTCTGGTGAGTGACGTCTGTCTGGAGCGTGAGGTTTGTCTGGTGGGTGAAGTCTGCCTGGTTATAAGGTAACGGAGCTTTCCTGGTGAAAGAGCTTGTCTGGTGGGTTGAGCTTGTCTGGTGGGTTGAGCTTGTCTGGTGGGTTGAGCTTGTCTGGTGGTTGGAGCTGTTGGGTGGGAGGAGCTTTTCTAATGGGTGGGGCCCTTTTTTGCGGATTTCTTACTCATTTACGGAAAAAAAGGCGCTAATGTGCTCGTCATGTCTGTCTGTCCGTCTATCTGTCTGTCCGTCTGTCCGTGACTTCACGTTTTCGTCGACGAGAAAATGCGCTCTCCGTCACTCACTGCAGTGAGTACTGAGTTATATTTTTGGAGGGTTAGGCTTGTTAAGTGCGTGGAGCTTATTTTTTGTGTGAGGCCTGTCATCGAAGTGGGACTTATTTGTGAATGGATCCTTCTTGAGGACGGGGCCTATCTGGTGGGTGCGGCTCACTGGACTGTCTAGGGGGTGGGTCTTTTCTGTTGGGTGGAGCTTGCCAGGTGGGTTAAGTCCGCCTGGTGGGGTTGGGGCCCGTTTGGCGAGTGGGGATCGTCTAGTGAGTGTGACCTGTCAGGTATTTCGCTTACAAGTCTAACTGAGATCCTGTACGTCCTCCGCTCCTAGGGCCTACTGAGATCCGGTATTTTGCTCATATATCCTACTAAAATTCCGTCCTCCTTTCACAGGTCTTGCTGAGATCCCAAATTCCGTTCATAGGCCCTACTGAGATCCCGTATTTCGCTCACAGGTCCTACTGAAATCCCGTATTTTGCTCACAGGCCATACTGAAATCCCGTATTTTGCTCACAGGTCCTACTGAGATTCCATTTTTCGGAGGCATGCCGTTCGTCGACGAATTTGTGGCCGATAAACTCAAGAAGAACTACGGCGATATCGTCATGTGAGTAACTAAATAAAATGCTCCAACGTCTAAGCAAATGCTATTGAAGTGAGGTTGACAGAGTCGTATTTCACTTTTTATTGATAGAAACTGCACACAAAGCTTCAGGGAAAATCAATATCGCTTCACCAAGTTGTCGTACATCTTGGCAAACCAATAATACTGGTGAGTGCGCATCTATTATACTGACGTGACACGCTGGGCTCGTCACTCCACTATACCATTTCAAGTTTCATCGCGTCAACATTTTATTTCAAAAGTTAATAGTCTAAACTTATTTCCAAAATTATCCTAATAAACAAAACTATCAAAATGTAATTCACAGTACATTGAACAGCTTCAAATACAGTGATCAAAAACATTTTTATTTAGCCGCAAAAAACTTATATTTGAGCTGAAACAGTTATCTGCAAGTAATATAAAGAAACAAACTCTCAGCACAACGTACAACCGCTCTTTGCAGCCCATTGAAACTGTTGTTCGGGATCAATCGGGTGTCTCATTATAATCATTAATTGTATATGATTGAGACGTAATATTCACTTGACCTGATAGAGATTGATGACATGAGTCAGCATCTGGAAGACACGTGATAGACCTTAGTAGTGATCACGATCAAGACCTTAGTAGTGGGCAGAAGTACAGGCTATATAAGGGCTAGCAACCTTAAGTAAGGCCTCCAGCAGCAGTAGTTGATAAGCGCTTCGCGATCTAACGCGCGTCGGTACCCAGATAAAATTTAGGGCAGTAAATAGAGCAGGCCGTCGCCGGCTGCAGAGCCCACGTAGAGACGCGACAGAGCCGCGATAGAGCAGAAATGTCCGCTTTAGAGACGATATCGCCAGCCGCGTATCAGCGCTAATTAGCTTCTGAGTACCTGCCCAGGAGTGCTCTGTCCTGCCGTCACGCAGCCCTTACTGAGCACCGCCTGCTCAAACCTGCCCAACGCCTGCTCTGGGGCGGCTCTGGCAGCGTACGCGGCAGTTACGCGTTACCGTTTGTCAACGATTCAAAAATTTTTACCTTCTCTCTCTGAGAACACCTAGACTTCTCTCTTGCAATGACAGGTTGTATTGGCATTGGTTTTTCACATTCATATCGTATTGACATTAACAACGGTATTTAGAAACTAACACATTCAATTATCGAGGAAATATACACATCAAACTACTCACCGCTATGAACTATCTGAGAACGTCGTCGGCAGCTCCGAGAATCGAACGCTGATCCTCCGCGTCGTAGCCCACGCCTGTACCAGCTTGGCCACGCGATCACCTTACCAGCCGAGGCTCTATGAACTACTTTTAACTATAATACGGATGCCACATTACGTTTACGGCATTACGTTCAATTATCCTTCGTTGAACTTGATAGATATTATTCATAATGCACTAATTTCAAGAAATGAACAAAGTAGCCATTCGTATGATCCCGTCAGATAGATAAAAGCGAATATTAGAGCTAAATTTGTCAAATAAATTATCCTATTGCATTAGCTTCATGTCATTCGATAGTTTGATAGGAAAATTAACAACGCACTCAAATCATTAGTACCCGGCGCCGGTCTCGGCTCAAAATTTTAACTGGGATAGTCATGCAACCATATCTTCTGGTGGAGCTTAATTTAAAATTAGCTCTGACACTGTCGTGCCTCGTGCCTCATGTGTCGTGCCTCGTGTCTCGTGTCATCACAACACATCACATCACACGTCTCACATCACAAATCACACATCACAAATCACAAATCACAAATCACAAATCACATATCACATATCACATATCACGTATCACATATGACGTATCACATATCACATATCATATATCACATATCACCAATCACATATCACCAATCACATATCACATATCACGTATCACATATTACATATCACATATCACATATCACGAATCACATATCACCTATCACATATCACATATCACATCAAACATCACATCACTTATCATATCACATCACATCACATATCATATCATGTATCAAATATCATATCATATATCAGTTCATATTATATATCATTTCATATCATATATCATATCATATGTCATATCATATCATCATTTCATATCATCGTGATGACTGTGCTGAAGAGTAGGCCTGATGTGGCCTGTCGCCGATTCATGTACTTTTCGTGATTTGTTCACAGGAGATCTAAAATATTTTTTCCAAACTGCCGATAGTTTGAAGTAGCTACTAGACTTACACCGGGTTCGATAAGGGGCTAGGCATTTCAAGTCTGAACATATATTTTTCCATAGCTTTATCTAGTCTGTTCTTGAACGCGTTTATACTCGGAGCGCCAACGATGTAATCAGGAAGGCTGTTGCACATGTCGGTGATTCGAAGTGAGAAGACCAACTTCAAACGCCCTGCGTCCCATGACTCAATTACCTCCTGCAGGCACCATTGGATCTCGTGACCCACTTCAACGCACTGGTTCCCATGACTCACTTACCTCCTGCAGGTTCCATTGGATCTCATGACCCACTTTAACGCACTGGGTCTCATGACTCACTTACCTCGTGCAGGTGCCGCATCGGGTCATATCGCTTGGTGCTCCTCTTCGACTACCACGTCGCCAAGGAGGTGCTCGCCAGAAAAGAGTTCGCCGACCGACCGAGTTTCTTCGAAAACATGAACATCGACGACCAAAGAACTGGAGGTAATAACGGTTAAGGCAAATAATTAGAGAATAAGATAAATTATTCGATACCATTAATTATTAATTGTAAACAATTATCAGGTAGAACATCGATGTAATAAAAAAGTTTTTGTAGGAGCTGAAGACATTTTTGCATGTCTGACAATCCTACTGTCGTGATTGCGTTTTTTCGCGGTTGTCCATGTTGAAAGAATGTGATGGTGATATTAAATCATTTCTGAATTCTGTTAGCTAATATTACGCTAACATTTAACGTAATATTAGGTGGAGGTTAGTGAGTAGTGACCGTGCGACAACTATCATGGCCTGGGTTGGAAAAGTTTCCCGCCATCAATTTCTTTCTCTGCATTTGGGAAATTTGTTATATTTTCTATACGTGGCACTGAGGCCAGGCATTAAATGGCACTTAGGCCAAGAGTTGCATGGCACTGAGACCAAGTGTTACATGGTACTGAGGCCAAGTGTTGCATGGCACTGAGGCCAGTCATTGAATGGCACTGATGCCAAGTGTTGCATGACACTGAGGCCAAATGTTGCATGGCACTGAGGCCAAGTGTTGCATGGCACTAAGGCCGTGTTGCATGACACTGAGGCCAAGTGTTGCATGACACTAAGGTCAATTGTTGCATGGCACTGAGGCCAATTGTTGCATGGCACTAAAGCCAAGTGCTAAATGGCACTGAGGCCACGTGCTAAATGGCACTGAGGCCAAGTGTTGCATGTCACTAAGGCCAAGTGCTAAATGGCAATGAGGCCAAGTGTTACATGACACTGAGGCCAAGTGCTGCATGACACTTAGGCCAAGTATTACATGGTACTGAGGCCAAGTGTTGCATGGCACTGAGGCCAAGTGTTGCATGGCACTGAGGCCAAGTGTTGCATGGCACTGAGGCCAAATGTTGCATGGCACTGAGGCCAAGTGTTGCATGTCACTAAGGCCAATTGTTGCATGGCACTGAGGCCAAGTGTTGCATGGCACTGAGGCCAAGTGCTAAATGGCACTGAGGCCAAGTGTTGCAAATCACTGAGGCCAAGTGTTGCATGGCACTGAGGCCAAGTGTTGCTTGGCACTGAGGCCAAGTGTTGCATGGCACTGAGGCCAAGTGTTGCATGGCACTGAGGCCAGGTGTTGCATGACACTGAGGCCAAGTGTTGCATGGCACTGAGGCCAAGTGTTGCATGACACTGAGGTCAAGTGTTGCATGGCACTGAGGCCAAGTTATGCATGGCACTGAGGCCAAGTGTTGCGCTGCACTGAGGCCAAGTTTCTCTCTGCCAGGAGTGCTCCTCAGCAACGGTCAGCAGTGGCAGCATGACAGACGTTTTGTTCTGCGCAGCCTTCGTGACTTGGGTGAATCTAATTAGGATTATTATGAATAATTTTATTATTTTTTGTTACTTCACACATAATTAAACTTATTGATACATACATCCGTAATCCTGCAGCGCAATTAATAATTGACGCTTTAGAATTACGTTTAATAATTAAAACATTATTATGTGACGCTTGAACTTCGTGCATTATAACAGTCGATGTCAGGCATGGGCATTAGCTTCATTTACGGTTATTTAAGCCGTACTTAATATATAACTGTTAATAAAGATATAATAATCAACAGTTATTAAACAATAAATAAATTCAATATCTAAGAAACGGAGAGTAGCTTCATGTATGCCTATTTAACCGTTACTAAATACACAAGAGTGTATAAATATATAACTGTTAATGAATATATAATGATGAACAGTTATTAAACAATAAATAGATTCAATATGTCAGGCATGGGCAAGAGCTACCTGGAAGAGGCCATCAACATGGAAGCTGAGGCGCTAGTGCAGGACCTGAGGCTCTACAGGGCCGAGGCCGTCATGTTCCCTGACAGCTTCCGTACAGCGGCGCTGAACATCATCTGGCAGATGGTGGCTAGTGAGTAGTGATGGTGAACTAGAGGTGGCTAGTGATGGTGAACTAGTGGTGGCTAGTGAGTAGTGATGGTGAACTAGAGGTGGCTAGTGATGGTGAACTAGAGGTGGCTAGTGATGGTGAACTAGTGGTGGCTAGTGAGTAGTGATGGTGAACTGGTGGTGGCTAGTGAGTAGTGATGGTGAACTTGTGGCGGCTGGTGAGTAGTGATGGTGAACTAGTGGTGGCTAGTTAGTAGTGATGGTGAACTGGTGGTGGCTAGTGAGTAGTGACGGTGAACTAGTGGTGCTAGTGATGGTGAACTAGTGGTGACTAGTGAGTAGTGATGGTGAACTGGTGGTGCTAGTGAGTAGTGATGGTGAACTGGTGGTGGCTAGTGATGGTGAACTAGTGGTGGCTAGTGATGGTGAACTAGTGGTGGCTAGTGAGTAGTGATGGTGAACTGGGGTGGCTAGTAAGTAGTGTCAGATGGTGGATAATGAATATTAATATTATATGTCATCATAATCAACGTGCTGATGGTACCTAGTGAAGGAAAGTAGGAAACAATCTCAACATTATCCTCAAATGTAATAATATGATCGGATCAAATTATTATCTTCTAATAAGTTATTCCTTTGCGTCCAGGGTTATTTTTATGAGGAAACCTTTAAAACTCTCGCTTATCGCCCGATTCCCAATATATTCATTACCGCGAAAAAAACTGTCCAATGTAAGAGAATGTCGGCCTGAATAACAATTAAGATGATTGCTAAAAGTGTCGATGATTCATAAGCCAACGATTTTCGTACAAAAATTTGTAGAAATTTTCAAATAAAAATTAAAAATCTACATTTTTCCATTGCCTTGCAGGCACTCGATTCGACCTGAGGTCCAAGGAAGTAGAACGCATCTACAATTTAACGAAAGGTTTTCAGCGGAACTTTTCGGTTGTGAACTTCATACCGACGTTCATCCCAGTTCTTGATAAATTCCCGGAGTTCATCAAAAACAAAATATTTGGGGAAGATCTTTTCCAGAAAGTCCTTGGAGAAATGAGGAACGTTGTACGCGTGGGTATTGCATTGGATTGAAAAAAGGAAATGCCGTTTGTTTGAAAATAGTTCCAATTAAAAAGTGGAAATTCATACACGTGGGTACTGTCTTTGGTTGAAAATGAGTAAGGTCGTTCGAGAGGGTTTTGTTTTAAATGGGACCGTCTACCCTCCGGAAAAACTTCTATAGTTATTATCCGATCATCATGAAACTTCACGTAAAAAATGTAAAACTTCTTCAGCGTAAAATGTAAAAAAAATAACATTTTGCTCCTGGGAATTTTTCGACAAAATTGATAGAAAACGTGAAATTCATAGAAAACGGCCAAAAACGGGTACTTTAGAAAATCTATCTCCTACAAATATCGTCCTACAACATCGAGACACGTATCATTCGATTCGTAAAGACCATACCTATCGACCAACCCATCACTTTTTTCATTTTCCCCATAGTTTTTTTTATGCGCGTTTTTCCCATTTTTCTAAACCGGAAAACGCCATAATTTGAAATTTTAGGGTAGACGGTCCCCTTAATGAGAAATGTTAGGTGCTTGCCTTTCCATGCATGAACCAGCGTCATTCAATTTGATATGTTTTTTTATTTCGGTTAAAATTTAGTAACCTCGTTCAAGTTGATATTATATTCGACTGACGGCTGTCAAGGCACAGACTCAGCGTAACTGTTCACTTCAGAGAGGAATTCAGCGACGTCGTTATAATTAAATATCGCTATTGGAAATGCAATTAGTATGTCATACGAACAGTGCTTCAAGTGTTTGATAATTTACAATAAAAAAACGCAGAAATAGACCAAATGAATATGTAAATATTAATTAATATAAAAAGGTTAATTAAATGATGAAAACTTTTAAATCACGTTCAAAATCAGAGAGAAATTTTCATTAAGATGCATCCCTGTAAATATTTTGTTGTGTTCAGAAAACCATCAACGAACACCTGAAGGAATACGACGCCGATCATCCACGGGACCTCATCGACGACTACATCAAAGAAATGGACCAGAACTCTAGCACTGAAGGCTCCTTGTTTCGGAGGGGAGGTATGGGGCAGGGGAACATCAAAGGGGTGGTACGGGGCAGGGGTACATCAAAGGGGAGGTACGGGGCAGGGGTACATCAAAGGGGTGGTACGGGGCAGGGGTACATCAAAGGGGAGGTACGGGGCAGGGGGTACATCAAAGGGGAAGTACGGTGGAAGGACTTGATCAAAGTGGAGGAAGAAATACATCAATAACTTATATTTTTACCCCATAAATATATTTATATTCATCAACCTTTAATTGCAGCTCTGGACCAGATCGTCAACGACATGTTCCAGACGGGTTCAGACACCATCAATAACATCCTTAGGTGGGTTGTTTACTTGCTGGCCCGCTACCCGGAGGCGGCGAAAAGAATGCAGGACCAAATCGACTCGGTGGTGCCACGGGACACTATGGTTTCTCTCAGTGATAAGCCAAGGTATGATATTCGGTAGTTTCAAACATTTAATCATAATAGTACTCTTCAATGGTATCTTATGATTTAAACTTCGAGCCATTTCAAGATAGGGAATTAACGGTTTCATAAATAGGGCGGTTGAATTATCACGGACAAAGTCGTGGCCTAACTAACCCAACAAAATTTAGATCCGGACCAAACTCTGAAACAGGTGTCGCCTAAGACTCTGGGAGCACGCCTCTTATGTCCGCTTAGGGCATTAGAAAATCTTTTAGAAATCTATCGCGTATCTTTCAAGCACCCTTCACATACCTCTATAGCACATTTGACGTACTTTCTAAGCACCATCTACGTACCCTATAAGCACCTTTCATGAGCCATTCCCAAATAAAAATTAAGGGTGGTGCACCGATGATTATAGGTGGCAATCGTAGTTTATAGGTGGCGTAACAGTGGGTGGCCCGATCTGTCAAAAATCGACAATAAAACATCAATAAATCGAGAGGGTGGCGAGTATAGGTGGCAGTCATCGATGAATCATTGATGAAGTATAGGTTCTGAATAATCGGTAGCGCATTGCAGGAAAATCTCTTTTAAGCCACTGAAAACCTTTTGCCTACACTCTGCACGGAGGTATTTGCCACTGTAATAATTTATCCAACATAGAAAGGTGTTATTGGGTTGCGGGTCATTCGAGATCAAGACAAAACCATGACTTCGTTCTGTCTGCTTGGCTTTTAAGATTGGCCACTGGCCATGTATCAGACTCTTCCTGATATAAATTGTCCGAGGAACGATGGAAAATTTTACTGCAATATACACAGTTTTTCCATTGATGACAGCGAATCCAATTTCTCATGTTTACCTGAAATATTGCGTAAATTTATTGTGAATTTTGCGTATGCGCCAACTGGCTGTGTTGGAAATATTGCGATCAATTAAGACTAATTATATAATTATTGCTTCATTAAGTATAAATTGTTTGGGTCGATTAAGTGTGTTCCATAATATTTACAATTTTCTCAAGTTGCCCAATTTATCTAAATTCAAAAGCCACGTTGACGTAGTCGACAGCGGCTCGGCATCTTTGTAAAGCACAGCGGAGACATCAAGCGCAGCGAGAGATTAGAGAGTCCAGTAAGCACGCGTTCATACCGGTTGGGTTGACGCACGGGTTGGCTTGACGCGCGTCGGTGTTGAGCTTGCTATTAATCTTTACCTCGTCCTGCTTGAAACATGTGCTTTCCGGGTAATTTGCTCGTCACAAAAGTATCCTTTTTACGCAAAGGATACGAGTAAAAATTCGGTTTTCCATCCTGACTTCGATAGTGAAATTTAATATACAGTCAGATAATGATTTCGATTTTAAGATTAAATTTCTAATAAAGTGGCCCCGGTATCTTTCCTAAGCAAAAGACTAAAGATTAGGCTAGAGAAAAATAGTGACTAGAAGTGGTGCATGTATTTCATGCCTGACATTTCAAAATAATCATGTAATATCAATTCCTTATATCACGTAAGAATATTCTTGGTGATAATATATCAATGTTGCCACATTTCAGCGTCACACACAAATTAAGCACATTTCAGCGTCATTTAAGCTTAAGCCCTTAACATACATCATAGCTATCTTTCAGGCGCCCTTTAAGCACACCGTGTACGTATTTGAAGAGCCTTTCACGTACCACTAAAGGACCTTTTACGTACTTTTTATCACCTTTAACTTACCATTTAAGCACCTTTCACGCACCTTTCAAACACTTTTCACATTCCACTGATATGGCTTCAAAGTACTTTTTAAGCACTATTTACGCGCCTTTTACGCACTTATTAAACACCTTTACTGTTGCTGTTCTCAGCCTGCCTCAGGTCGAGGCGTTCATAATGGAGACGCTTCGCTACTCCTCCTTGCTCCCCATCCACGTCCAGAGGATGGCCACCCAAGACACGACCATCGGGGGTTATTTCATCCCCAAGGTGGGTACTTCATCCCCAAGGTGGGTAATTCATCCCCAAGGTGGGTACTTCATTCCCAATGTGGTACTTCATCCCCAAGGTGGGCACTTTATCCCCAACATGGGTATAATTTTTCCCCAATGTAGGTAATTCATAAACAGGCCGAGTGACGCCTTTGCTGCAAGACAAAGGGTTGGACCCCTCCTGTTTGCAGGACTTTTGCTAGAATAATATTGACAAAGGTTAATGTATCCGTAAGACAGAGTGTTGAACCACTCCTTTTGCTAGAATAATATAGACAAAGGTTAAAGTATCCTTAAGACAGAGTGTTGAACAACTCATTTTGGCAGGGCTTTTGCCAGAATAATATTGACAAAAGTCAGTGTATCCGTAAGACAAAGGGTTGAACCCCTCTTTCTGGTAGGGCACGCTGCTACGTGTAGGCAGCTACTCGATCCACTTCGATCCCCGCTACTGGACCGACCCTGAGGACTTCAACCCCGACCGCTTCCTGGACCCCAGTGGCAGATACGTGGCACCAAAAAATGGTTTCATGGCCTTTGGTGCAGGTAGGTGCAAGTGACATTTTAAATGAATTTTAAATTAAAGATACAAGTATTTCGACGTATTTCTGGGTTCAAATAATCTAAACAATGGTTTGACATTTGAAAATTTAAATAAATGAATTAGCTGGTCATCAATTGCGTATGTAGTAATATGTAAATACTGCGAACCTATACTAAAGTAGCGGCCTAAGTACGAGTAGAGGCCAAAGTTCAAGTAGCGTACTAAATCCACGTAGCGTCCTAAATACACGTAGCGGCCTAAACACGTAGCGGTCTAAACACGTAGCGTCCTAAGTACACGTGGCGGCCTAAGTACACCTAGTGACCTATGTACACGTAGCGGCCTAAGTACACGTAGTGGCCTAAGAACACGTGGCGGCCTAAATACACGTAGCGGCCTAAGTACACATAGCGGCCTAATATCAGGTTTCCAAGGGACATTTTATTATAATTTACGACGTTTCGAATGCAACTTCATTCATTATCAAGTAGAGGACGAGTTTTGCAACAAGTGAATTTGAAATTTTGAAATGACAATAGTACAAACATAGGGTATTATGG